GCAGTCCCCAGCAGCACCGGGCTCTGGTCCCTCCAGTGGGCGCTCCCGCGTGACGCCCCCTCCCCACCGGAGACAAAGCAGCGTGGTTGCCTTTTAAGAGATATTAAATGCTTTTATTTTCAATATTAAAAATCAGTATTTTTAATATTAAAACAGCGCTAATCTTAACAAAATGACAGGAAAAAACCCCCAAGGTACGATCTACAAGAAAACCCATCCTGACCAGCCCTCCTCCCAACACGCGCACACACACACGCGCGCACACACACACACACACACCTGACTGGACCCCAGTCGTGGGGCAGCAAAGCTCCCAGTCACATATGCACACACATGTGCACTCGTGCACAGACTAGGGGGCAGGGGTGGGTGCTGGCCCAGGAGCAAGTACCAAAATAGTTTTAGAAATGCCTGTCCAGCCCGGCACAGGCGTTAGAAAAATATTCTTTGCAAAGGGAATGGGGAAGGACGGCGTGTTGAGTGGGAGGTGGAGTGGGCTTGCCAGCCTCAGCTGTCTTCTCCCCGTGGCACCTGGCCCCCAGGTCACCAGCGGCCCAGACGAGGGGCCGCTGCGAATCTGCCCCAGGCCCACAGCGCCGTCCCAGCCCCGGCTGGAGGCCACAGGTTAGCAGGTGTAGGTCTATGCAAAGGGGCCAGGGGGTCCTGGATCCCAGCTCTGAGCAGGGCAGTCGGTAGCCAAACGGTTTTGGCCTTCCTGGTAAAAGAAGAGAAGAAGGGTCAGAGAAAGCCAGGGAGGCCCAGAGGAGCAGCTGGCCTCGGTGCAGGGGGCCCCCACGCTGCCTCCAGCCATTTAGGGGCAAGGGTCCTGCAGTGACGGCCGGAGGTGGGCTTGCTGAGCCCGAGTGCTGCCCACACTCGGCCCACCGAGGTGAGGGTTGGCAGTGGTAACCCCAACAGCAGAGGAAGAGGGAGCTGGGGCACAAGGCCAGGCTGTGTGGGTGGGGGCACCAGGCAGCCAATAGGTGGGGCACACCTATGCGTCCCAGATGTGGACCCCAGACCCAGGACCCGCTCCCTGGGCTCGCCGGGCCTAACCCGACCACGTGAGCCTGGGGGAACCAGCTGCCAAGTGGGCTGGCCGACCCAGCCCCCGAGCGCCCCGCTGCCACCACTCCGAACTGGTTTGCTCTGGCCCCGTTCCCAGCACCCCCTGTGACATCCAGGGGCTGACAGGCCGGCCATGTTTTTCTAAGACTCCGGTATGCAAATCAGGGCTGTCGAACAGTAAGAAGCAGGTGAAGCCAGGGCCCTAAGCCTGCAGCACCTCATTTGATCAGGATGGCGCAGGCTCGAGCCTCGTCTTCCGCCAGGTTCCTCAGATTCTTCTCAGATTCCTCTGAAGAGCTGGGGGGAGGGGGGCGGTGATCAGAAAGTCCTGGGGCTGGGCCTTTCCTCGGGCCTCTGTGCCCAGCTCTGACAGAAGGGAGGCCGAAGGGTGCGAAAGGGAGGCTGGGGAGCCAGGGGAGCCCCTCCCGTGGACCCGCCCGCCCACCTGCCTCACCCCAGGAAATCCTTCACGTCCTCCACCGTGACGTCCCCCGTCGTGTCCAGCGTGGTGTCCGCACTGGTGGCCGAGTCAACGGACATGGGCGAGAGCATGGCCTCAGGCGTCTCTGGGGTGTCTGCAGGGAGGAAGGGATCAGGCCCGTGCCTGGGGCCCTGGGCACCCACGGCCCTCCACCTTCCAACCCTAGGGACCTGAGGACCCAGACCCCAACCCAGCCCACAGTGAAGCTTGGGACCGCACGCCGACCTCCAGCCCTCTCCTGCCCGGCCTGCTCCACCCCGGGCTTCCAGCCACGGCCAGGCTGCTGCCTCCCACGGAGGCCTGCCCCCATGCCCGAGCTGGGCGGGGGGCGGTCCTGCCACCTTCATTTCCCACCCAGTCCCCCTTACCGGCTCCCTTGCTGCGGCCAGGATCGGGGCTTCCATCGCGGCTCCGTGAGGCCAGGACGACACCCGGGGTCCCATTAGCCTGGCTCAGCTTGGGTGATTCTCGGAGCCTATAGCTGCAGAGACGGGGCCATGATGGGGGGCCCCGGGAGTGCCAGACCCTGTCCTCCCTCTCCCGGGCCCCAGGACCAGAGAGGGGTGCCACCACAGAGGGCCACCCTCGTTCCATGCAGAGTCAGGGCACGGGGATGAGACCAGCCGTGGTGACAGGCCTCCTGGGCCAGGCCCTCCGTGCACCTGGCGCGGGTGGTATCTCGGGGCCAGCTGATGTCCAGAGAGCAGAGCGGCTCTGTGATGTTCCGGGCGCTCAGAGAGAAGCGTTCAAACTCCGATGGAGAAATCAGGTAAAAACCTGGGTGGGCGGGCGGAGCGGGGCGCAGTCAGGGGCAGGACTCCGACCACAGCCCCCTCAGTGGCCTCCCCGCCCACCCCACCCCGTCCCTGGCCTCGGGGTCCCCCCCTCTGCCGCCACTCCCCAGCGACCCTCCCGGCCGCGCTCAGGCCGCCTGGCCCAGGAAACCTCCCCCTCACCCTGGCCATGGCGCGTGAAGACGCAGGAAGCGATGCCGCTGATGTCCTCCTTCCGGATGCAGGAGTAGTGCACCTGGGGCCGCAGGCCGGGCACCGAGAACACGTGCACGTCGCCCAGGTTGGTGAGGCAGGCCAGGCAGGTCTCCGCGTAGTCCTCACAGGCCACGCTGGCAAACGTGGCAAGTGCCACCTTGCGCACGCGGCAGCCCTCGTGGGCCGTCAGCTTGAACTTGGTCTTGGCGCTCACCTTGGGTAGCGTGAACACCTGGTGGCAGGCGGCGGGCGGGCAGCCGGTGAGCAGGGCCCGTCAGCCCTGGCCACAGGGCTGCGTCTGCCCGGGCGCCCGCCCGCCCCAGGCTGCCCTCTCCTCACACTCCACGCAGGCTTCACGCCGCTCCCAGAACCCCCCCGGGGCCCCGCCATCTGCAGCCAAACCAGCCACGCTAGGCGGTAAGTGTCAGGCGATCCACTCGGATCACGACCTCCTGCCGGCAGAGCCCCGAGGAGCGCTCAGAGCGTCCTGGCGGGGACCCAGAGAGGCAGCAGGGTCCGGAGGGGCCGCGGCCGGCCGACGGAGCCTCTGTGCTAGCTAGAGGTGTCTCGGGGGTCTCAGCAGGCAGCACGTATAGGCAGGGCAGTTTCTAGAAGGTCCGGCGCCGTGTGCGCGCCAGCCGGGACGGTCTCCACGGGCGCTTACCTTGAACTGCTCCTCAGATGCGATGAGCACAGCGTGGCCGCCCTGCATGTCGGGGGCCTGGGCCAAGTCCCGGGAGGCCTCGTAGGGCTCGGGCAGCGGGCGGCCGCGCCCATCCAGCACGGCGATGGCCACCACGGGCGCGCGGTGCATCAGCTGCACCTCCTTGCCCAGCACGGCCTCCACTGCCCGCTCGGGCCGCTTCTCGCCCCCTGCCGGCGGCGGCACCTCCAGCGCGTAGGCGAACACAGAGCCCGAGTTGGTGCCTGCCCACATGGTGGGCCCGTGGTGGGCCGCTGTGGAACGGCGGGCCGGTGAGGCGGGCCCCTGCCCTCCCCCCCTGTCCCCCGCGTCCCCGGGGGGCCCGAGGCACCTCCTCTGCACTGCTCACGAAACGCGGGGCCTGCGATACGGCCCCCCTGCAGCAGGGGGAACGGCCTCGAAGACGTCAACAGGCACCCCGACTACACCCGGGCCTCTCCAACCCCGTCCCGCCGCACCCCCGCCCCCGAGGCCTACCGACCGCCTCGCAACCACCCCAGCCCGCAGACGTGCTCCGGCAGGCCGCGGCCCACCCGCTTCGGGGCGCTTTCCGGCCCACAGCCGCACGCGGAGCCCTCGGGCCTGGGCACAAAGGAACCGAGGCCCCCGGGGCCGCCGTCTGGCCAGCTTTCCCTGTGTGAGCTGAAACTCTGGGGACAGAATCGGGAGCGGAATGCGCGGGAGCCCGCAGGAGCCCGCGGTCACTGCCACGTGCCCTTGATGAACTGATGGCCCAGCAGCAACCGTCAGGGGGAGCCAAACCCCAGGGAAAAGTCAGCGACTCAACACGCCGCCCTGACCCATGACACCCAGCAGCTGGGAAGCTGCGCCCCGTCGGCCTTCTCACGGGGACAGCAGAACACGGGAAAGGCCGCGGGGCTGCCATGTCCGCATGCTGAGAAGACCCACTGGACAGAGGATCCCCACCATATAAATGACACCAGGAGGGGGATGCTCCCCTCTCAGACTCGGGGACCAGAAGTCGCCTCAGTGAGATGCCAAGCGCAGCCCAACTAGATGCTGACCCGACATCAACTAAAGAAGGCAATTTTGAGACAAGTGGAGAAAGGCGCCGTGAACCCAGTGTGACCGGGACCAGCGTCGGTTCCGCAGGGTGCGAGGCGGGGACCCCGGCTGTGGGTTACGCCCATTGGACACACACTCAAGTCCTCACTTAAACGACGAGTGTGGGGTGGGGACAGGTGCGGCAGCCGCAGATGGCTGGAGGCACCAGGCTGGACGGCGGGGTGACCGGACTCCTCTCTAGTTCTGTGTATGGTTGAAATTCTCCGCCACACGAGTTACAATTCAATCCGTGAAGCAGTCCCGAAAGCCAACCGCGTCACCCTGTAGAGGACGCTGCCGGGCCCCCCACCCCCCAGCAGCCTCCCGGACACGTGCCACGGCAGCCCTCGGCGCTGGCCGACCCCCGCACCCGCCTCCCCGAGATCTCGGGCTCCCTTCTCCCCGTTCGGGCCTCAGAGGCCGGCCTGGCTCACTCCCCACCCCCATACACAGGCGGAAATCCCAGGGGGGCCGTTTGGGGGGCCAGCTCGGTCCGGCATGCAGTAGGCTTCCCCACCTCCCGGGAGGCGCGGTCCCGCCCCCTCCCCCATGGCCTACATGGCCAACTGAGGCCCGTCTCTGCAGCCCAGCCCCCAGGTCTCACCATCTCGAAGGAACGTGTCGGCGAAATAAAGGCAGCGGACGACGCCGGAGAGGGAGTCGTCGGCGGAGCGGGGCTCGATGCGGCGCTGCACTGGGGTCATGTCCACATCGTGGGGGCAGGCCTGCTCAGCCAGCTGCGCGTTGGCCTCCTGCAACTGGAGGGGCAGCGGCCTCCAGGACGCCGCCTTCCCGCACCCTGCCGGTGCCCCTCCCGACCAGGCCGGCGCCCAACAGCCCGGCACCCTCCCCGGCCCGCCCTGATCCTCCTGGCCGGGGCGACCGCAATGAGCGGACACCGGGCTTGGGGGCCGAGGTCGGCCGGGCTCCGTTGCCAGGCCTGGCCTGGAGCAGCAGACCGGCGGCACCCGGGCGGCCCGGGCCCAGCTCACCTTGCTGGCGGCAGTAGCGGCCCGCTTCTTGCCCGAGACTCGGCTCTTGCGGATGCGCCGGAAAGACTGGCGCAGAGACTTCTTGAGGGACTTCACCCGGGACAGCGGCCCCTCCATGGCCAGGGAGTCGTTGGGGTGAAGTGTGCACCTGTGGGCCGGCAGACGACAGCTGTGCCACCGCAGAGTCCGGAGCGGCCCCTGCTCCCGCTGGCCCCGGGGCTCAGGACTGCACAGCAGCCGAGGGCTTTCAGGTCACCCCACCTTCACCAGGTCAGATCTCAGAAGGGGAAACCGAGGCCCGGGGGGGTGGGGAGCGCAGACCCCGCCTGCCTCCCCGGGCTCCGGGCCCGCCCCCCACGCACCTGGCCAGCACCGGGCTCCTGCGCTGATAGTCGAACAGGCCAAAGCCGTGACTGGTGCCAAAGGCCACGAGGCTCCACTCGGCGTGGAGCGTGACAGCGGTGACGGCAGCTGGTGGCAGGCACTGAACCAGCACTCGGGGCTGGAAGCCAGCAGGCCACGGCAGCGGCCCCGTGCGCGGACTCAGCCGCTCGTGGCCCTTCCACGTGAAGCCCTCTCGGTCCTGGAGGAGGTCCACGCTGGCCACGCTGACCGCCTGCTCCGAGGGCACATCACTCAGCTCCAGCACCAGCACCTGAGCCCACAGCCAGGGTGGGGCAGGGGTCAGCATGGAGGAGGATGGCACTGGGCCCGTCGGAGCCTGCAAAGCCCCCGCCCGCCACAGTGCTCCCGGTATTGTCTCTAGTTCATCTACTGAATAAGCACTTACTGAATGCCTACTGCGTACCGGGGCCCCCACTGAGCACTGGGGACACAGCGGTGACCGAGGCCCACTGCCTTGCCTTCCAGGAGCCAAACAGCCCCCCCACCCCAAGCCGGTCTCCACTCAGTCATAAGCACACACCGAGCACCTTGTGCATGCCGCGTGGGTGCCGCTGGCCTTTGGAGCCAAGTCCTCCCCACGAGCTGGTCTCCCGTTTAGCAGTAAGTCCCCACGAGCACAGATAAGCCGCGTGAGTGCCGGGGGCGCCGCGGTGACCGAGCCCCGCCGGCCCCAACCCTCCGTGGTTCCCCAAGGGCCAGCCTCCAGACTCAAGGCCCCCAGCAGGTTCCACCCCCTGGCTGGCCTCACCGCAGCCATGCCCACCTGGAGCCCCACTCTAGCTCAGACCCACTTCCTCCAGGGAGCCCTCGGAGACCGCAACCCCGAGGGCAGCCCCGCCTCACCTGGCCTGCGGTGCCGGCCACCACCATCTGGGCCGTGTACTTGCACAGTGCCACCTTCTGCACCCCAAGCCGAGGGTCGTCACTGTAGGGGTCGAAGCAGCCCACCTGGGGGGGGGGGCAGGATGGAGTGAGGACTCGCCGCAGGGCTGGGACCAGCTCCCCAGGGCTGGGCGGGGGGGGCCACCTTGCGAAAGGGGGGCCAGTCGTCCTCGGCGGCCTGGGCCAGGCTGTCGGCGTGCTCACAGTCTGTCTGGAAGAGGCCAGCCGTGCTGAGTTTGTACAGCGGCCGCAGGGCCACGCCAGACGCATCCCAGAACCGCACGGTGCCGTCCTCGTGGCTGCGGGGAAGGAAGGCGACGTCAGGCCCGCCCCGGGGCCCCCTGCATCTCCCCGGCCACTCATCCGGTGACCACTCACGGAGCACCTCCTGCAGATGCCGAGCACTGACCAGACTCGCACTGCCCGCAGCAAACAGGAGGCATCTACTGTAGAGAGCAAACACATACTGAGCGCCTACTGTATGCCAGACCCCACGCACCTGGGTCTCTCCAACAGGGTGAAAGGTGTGGAAATAATCACCAGCGTGACGGGCAGCAGAGCAGATAATGCAGGGGAGAGAGGACTACAGGCGCATCCGGAGAAGCGACCGGGGTTAGCACAGAGCAGAAGGATCAGCTGGGCCATGAGGCAGCCATGCAGGCAGAGCAGCAGGAAGCCTGGGGAGGCTGGGAGGAAGCAGTGGGCAGGAGCAGACAAATCTGGGGTGCAGCCTCAGGACACAGCTGCAGGGCCCAGGTTAGGGGCCTCTGCACAGTGGTGCAAGCCCAGAGCCAGGGTGTGAAAAGGTGCCTGGGTCTCTGGGGCTGGCTGGGACACTTCCAAAGCCACGATCAGGAGTCCTCCGGCAGGGAAGGGGACTCTGGAGCCAGAGGCCCGAGGGTCCCAGCACAGGCGGGAGGCAGGGGCAGGGCAGGAAGTTGGGGCCTGAGTCACTGGGCACGTCAGCGCCCGCCAGGCCCAGGCTGGGCTCTCTAGCACCTGCCCGGGGCAGATCGGCGTGGGCCAGCCCAGATTTTCCGGTCCCAGGGCAGGCTGGGTGGGTGGAGCTCACTTCCAGACCGAAAGGCAGGGCAGGGCGGGGCATTAAACCAGGGCCTAGGAAGGCTTCCTCCCAATCCACCCTGCAGGAGAGGGGATGGCCTGGTCCCACCAGGGGCGGGGCCTGACTCACCAGACAGGTCAGTAGCCACCAGGCCCCGGACAGGCTCTCCCGCACCTGCGGGGGCTGTACCAGGCCCCATCTGTCCACACACACACGCACACACACACACGTCACACCTGTGCTCGGCCCCCGAACACACGTGTGCACCTACCCGGTCAGCAGCAGCCCTCGCTGCGATGGCTCCTGGGCCAGGTTCCGGCCCCCCGTGATGGGCCAGCTCTGGGAGAGGGGAGCAGAGATACGGGACGTGGAAGGTCAGGACAAATGCCTTCTCCTCTCCCTGGGCTTGGCACCCAGGGCCCAAACGAACTGCCTCTGAGTTCTCTATGGATGCCTGCCACATTCCCCCCTCCGGGCCTGTGCCTGGGCAGAGCCCAGAACACCCTCCCTCCCCAAACACCCGCCCTGCCAGGGGGTGCGGGGGGAGGGCCCTGGGCACACACCGAGGCGCCGGAGGCAGGCTGCGGGCTCTGCTGCTCGCCAGCGCTCACGATGCGGGCCCACAGCTTGGCGGGGACGTTGGCAACGTGTGCAGAACAGGTGATAGCAGACGAGTGCAGCGGGGCCAGGTACGGAGCGGGCACGGCAGGCCAGCCAGGCGTCTGCAGGTCGAGCACCACCAGCTCCTCCTCGAGCAGCACGGCCAGGGCCTGGGGCTCGTCGAACTCTGCGGGACCAGGGCTGGGTGAGCCCAGCGGCAGGGGGCGCCGGGCGCGGGGCGGGGAGGGCGGGGCACACACCATCCTCGGGCCGAGTGCTGTGCACCGTGAAGAAGTCGATGATGCGGGAGGTGAAGTCCAGCGTCACCAGGGTCTCAGCCCGGAGCACACTCACACAATGGCGGTCGCCGTAGCTGGCACGGGGCATGCCGCCACTGAAGATGATGAAGTGGTCCCTGCAGGGCCGGCGAGGGAGCCACGTGAGCCACCTGGGCCCCAGGTGCACACTGCCCAGCCCAGGGAGAGCGATGCAGGCCATCCCTGTGCCCCAGAGCCCACCGCCCTCCCCGCTGCAGACACAGCCCCCGACCCACATCGGAGAACCGGCTCCCCACCTACCCAGATTCACAGTTTCGCCACAGAATCTTGTTAATGGCTTTGCAGGGGAAGGGGCCTGGAGGAGTGGGACAGTGTCAGGCTCACTCGCTCACCGGGACCAGAGGGGCCCCAGGTCATTTCTCCAAGCTTCTCCCGTTCCTATCGTGCCTCCATCGCTCCCCACCTCGCAGCTGCTTCCTGACTCCCCGAGGGGAAGGCCCATGCCCCACCGCCCCCCACCCCCCCAGCGGTCTCACCTTTGAGGAGTGCGCTCGGCACAGGTCCTCCCGGACACCCCCACCAAGGCCAGGCGGCCCCACGTGCCTGAGCTTGGGGTCACTGGTCCACCCCGTGCTCAGGCGGCCTCCCGGCACTCACCATACGGCGTGGTGGCTGCCGTGGGCTGGGTCATCGGGGAGTGGCCGGCGTCGGCCGCCCACACCGCGTAGCTGCCGTCGCTGTGCGAGCTGACCAGCCTGCTGCCGCTGCGTTCCCAACACAGGCTCTCCAGCTGCTGCGGGCCAGAGCGGCTGCGTGTGAGCAGGGCCGCGGGCGCGGGGCCTCGGCGGCGGGAGCCGGCCTCCCCCACGTACCTGGTTGCCCAGGAAGACACGGTCTGCACACTGTGCCGCCTGGTTCCAGATGACCAGCAGGCCCCGGCTGTAGCCGATGAGGATCTTGGTGGGGTCCCGCAGGTGTCCCTGGAGTGACTCCACGGGGCCCAGCGCCTTCCCACACCGGTAGTCGTCCGGCACGCTGCGGAGGGGCCCGTGTGAGCTGGCGGGGCCGCCCCCCAGGCACAGACTGGCTGCCGGGAGGTCCGCCTGCCTCTCACCTTCGAAGAACCTCGTCCGGGGCAAGAGTCTGCCCCTCGAGCAGCGTCAAGGTGGGTACATCCAGGAAGAAGACGCTTCCGCCCTCGGTGCCCAGGGCTGCCATGTCACCTGCCGCCACCAGCAGGACCACTGTGACACGGGCGAGGCTGAGCGGGCCACTGCACAGAATGAGGGGAGGCAGCTGAGGGCGCAAGCCCGTGCACCTGCTGAGGAGGGCTGTGGAGGGGCCTGGGCTGCTCCCGGTAGCGCATTAGGGCCCCTCCGCCCTCACAGAGGCCCGATTATCGAGTGGGCTGGCGTGCCGGGAAGGCGACGGTGGAGGCTGCGGGCATCGTAATTAGCTCACTCAATTATTCATCAGGATGTTGGGAAGGAGAGGGATAAAAATAGGCTCCCCAGGTCTTGGAGACAGGCTCCCGAGCCCCTCCCACTCACTAGGAGGGGAAGGCAGGAACCAGGCCAGCGCCGGGGCCAGGACCAGGACCAAGGGCTCCAGGACACACACGACCCTCCTGAGCCCGACCCAGGAACCCCAGTCACCAGCCCACGGATGGCTCCCTGACCACGCAGTCTGGCAGCCCCAGACTGACCCTGCCTGCAGAGGATGGAAGACCACCCCTGGGTGAGGGCTGGATGTGTGGGGGTATCATCCAGCCCCCAGCAGGAACAGGACAAGCCTCCCACTGAGGCAGTACAGGAACCTTGAAGGGTGAAGGGCTTGCCCACTCTGACCGTTTCGGGAAGGGCCAGCAGCGCCATGGACCAAGAGGCCCCTTACACTCTCACCGGTGATCCAGGCCCACTCCGTTGCCCCCTGGAGCGTCCTGCTGGCACCTCACACAGCCTGGTGGGACCATCCTTGCCCCCTGCCCTTTCATCCATGCACTTTATGGCCCACTGCCCCACCCCCAACCATGAAAGGCCCTAGTCGTCGCCAGAGCATGGACACCACCTGCTCACCTCAGACTCGGCCAGAACCCCCTATTTAACACCCGCAAAATCCACATGGCACATCTCTCCAGGACCCGGGCGCAGCTCGGTGGACTCTGCCACCCTGAACCCCGGGGCAGGGGTCCCATGCCCACAGCGCCTCAGCAAAGCTGGCTCCCACCACCTCCACCAGGCTCCCCCCGCCCCGGGCCCAGCCACTCGTCCCCAGACAAGTCCTCCAGTACCTGGCCCCGTCGAAGCCCGGCCGACTCGGTGGCTGGAAGCTGAGTGCCTCCTCCAGGTGGGCGCAGCCGTTGTGGTGGACGATCTCCCAGAGGTGCAGGCTACTGTCGTCCAACAGGGTCAGGAGGCGGCCCTGGTGGATGAGCAGAGACAGAGACTGGGCTGGTCCGGGCCGGGCAGGGCGTGGGGGCCGGGGGAGCCGGGGAGGGGAGAGGCTCACCTGGCCGGGCAGGAAGTGCATCTGGGTGACAGTGGCTGTGTCCCGGTGCAGGCCAGTGAACTCCACGCCGGGGGCACCGTAGCTAAGGAGACAGGTCAAGGGCAGAAGCAGGCACGGGAGATCCTCCTTTCCAAGAACCCTCGCCACGGGCCCCAGCCAGGCTTGCCCTCCGAGGTCCAAGGAGGGACAGCCCTCCTCACAGAAGCACTGTCCTGTACCCCCCGCAAGATATCCCCGGGCTCAGAGTGCAGACTTCGCTCTGCTGCCAGTTGGTGCTGCCGTATGACCTTTACTTCCTCATCTGCAAGATGGGCTAGTGAGTCACGCTCCCTCCTTGTAGGGCTGATGCAGGGCGAGTGAGAATACAAACACGCCCAGCACACTTGGCCCAGGCCTGGCACGTGGCCAGGGGCCCAGTGTGTCAGCCTCAGCCTGTGTCCGTGTACATAAGAGCTGGGCCACACAGGTTGGGATCACACTGGCAGCAAGGCCAGGCCGGGCCTGGGCACGGAAGCCTGGGGCAGAGGACAGCCCAGGCTGCCTCTTCCCACAGCCCCAGGCCAACCTCCAGCTGCGGGCAAGGAAACCAACCTCCCCCTTGGGCCGGCAGCCAGCGGCCCCCCAGTGCGCGGGGAGAGGCCCCGGCCGGCCCATTTCACAGAATGCACAGAGGTTTGGGAAGGTTGGGAGAGCTGCCTCAAGCGCCTGGGGTCAGTGCCAGGGACACAGCAGCTCCAGGTTCGCCGGGGGTCGGACAGGGGGCCCCAGGAGGGAGGGCTAGGGAGGGGTCAGCGTTGCTCGGCAACGACCCAGGAGCCGCTGCTTTGGAGCTAGAGTTAGGATTCCCTGCAGGAACCAGGAGAACACAGAAGAGGGGACAAAAGAGAGGGCAGGAGCTGCTGGGCGGGAACCAGGGTTGCCAAGGAGACGGGCTGCCCTTGAGGGGGAGGGGTGGCTTCCGTGGCCAGCCTCAGTTTCCCAACCCAGGGTGCCGGGCTAGGGTAGTTTGGGGGAAGGAACGAGGGGAAAGAGGAGGGCCCCGGCCTCCTCCTCCGGGCTGTCTCCTCGCCAGCACATCAGGTTCTTTGTGAGCATGCGGAGCCCGTGCACGAGAAAGTGGCTACCAGAGTCGCACAGCGCAGGGCACCGAGCAAGGGGCTGCAGGAACACGAGACACATGTGGGGCAGGACAGCACCCCAAGGGGCAGGAGCAGGCCAGGAAGTACGACCGCCCCCAGGGCCTGTGAGGGGGGAGGTTCAGGGCAGGTAGACCAGCTACTGTCCCCTCCCCACCCCATTCCCTGCCCCACAGTGCCCTGGGAGCCCGTGGGAGAGGAGGGGCACCCCGGCCCAGCCACACTCCTTAGAGAAAGCAGACTCACAAACCACAGGCCCAGACGCCCACCCCTGCCTGGCCACCCAGCCCTGCGGTGGAAAGACCCCCATGCCCACCCCGCCCCTTTCCAGGCATTGACTCATTTTTCTGCCAACCAACGTCCCCAGTGAGGGTACTAAGAAGCCAGAGGATCACGGGAGCAGGGGTGAGGGTGGGCAGCCTCCACTGGGCCCTCCACCTCGGTTTCCCCACCCAAGGGGCTTCAGGGAGAGCAGCAGGGGTGGGGTTCTCCGTGGCAGGCAGGGATGCATTCAGCTGCCTGCTTGCCCCCACCCCACCCCCACCCCGCGCTGGCAGGAAAATGCCCGCTTTGTGCGGCTCACACGGCCCATTGTGCAGCCACCAGCGTCCAGGTGGGGGCCGCGCCGCACTCACCATGCTGAGCCTGGCACGGCCCCCGGCCCCTCGGCCGAGCACATGTGTCTTCACGTTCACACACTCGTGTGTGCCTGGTCACCAGGGCAAGGCCCGCTGGCCGACCCTGGCCCACTCGCCACCCTTGCTGGGTACCGCGCCTGGCCGGCCTCCCGGCCCAGCGTCCCTGGTCAGTTGCTGGAACGGTGGCAGGGTCGCCTAGGTAACTGGCTGGCTGAAATGCAGCGAGGGACAGCTGTGACCACTGCAAGCTGACCCCTCCCCCACAACCACTTCTGTAAGGAAGAGTCTCGGGAGCAGGAGGCCGCACCAACCTCCACCAGGACCGGGGCACCAACGGTGGCCTCCCGGGCTGGGCCGGGCCCAAGGAGCCCGCACACGGGGCGGGGGTGGGGGG